AAAGGCTTACAGGACGTCCTGAAGCAGGCCAGGAAGGTGTGGATATTTCAGGCGTTCCTACATGGCCATGGCGCACTTTGCCGATATCCAGCGGCGAAACAACATGCCAGTGAGGCGCTTGATTTGCGACAGCCCGGCGCGTTGGAATTCAACACTCCTAATGTTCGACCGCCTGCTCCAACAAGAAAAAGCCGTTAATGAATATTTGTATGACCGGGGTGCTAGGACAGCCTCTGGGGAGCTGGGAATTTTTTTGCCATGTTACTGGACGCTCATGCGCAATGCCTGTAGGCTCATGCATCCTTTTGAGGAGGTGACAAACCTAGTCAGTCGCACCGAAGGCACCATCAGCGACATCATACCATTTGTTTTCTTTCTGGAGCGTGCCCTGCGAAGAGTGCTGGATCAGGCCGTAGATGAGCGTGAAGAGGAAGAGGAAGAGTTGTGGTCACCATCACCACCAGAACCAGCCTTATCAGCATCGCTTGCTGGACCTGCGGCAACGCTGGAAGAGGATTGTGAGGAAGAGGAGTCAGAGGAGGAATGTGGCTTTGAGGAGGAGGAGGAAGACCAACCACAACAGGCATCCCAGGGTGCTTGTTGTCACCTATCTGGTACCCGTGGTGTTGTACGTGGCTGGGGGGAAGAACATACCTTCATTGAGATCACTGAGGAGGAGGAACGGGAAATGAGTAGCTCGGCATCCAACCTTGTGCAAATGGGGTCTTTCATGCTGTCGTGCCTGTTGAGGGACCCTCGTATAAAAAGGCTGAAGGAGAACGACCTGTACTGGGTGTCCACGCTACTAGACCCCCGGTATAAGCAGAAAGTGGCTGAAATGTTACCAAATTACAACAATTTGGAAAGGATGCAGCATTTGCAAAATAAATTAAAAAGTATGCTTTACACAGCAAATAAGGGTGATGTCACAGCACAACGGGAATCTAACAGGGGAAGAGGTGAAAGTAATCCTCCTCCTCCCACGACCACACCGGCAAGGACAGGACGCTTTACAGACGTGTTGTTGATGGAGGACATGCAGAGCTTTCTAAGTCCTACGAATCGCCACAGCCCTTCGGGATCCACCCTCAGAGAACGACTCGACCGACAGGTAGCAGACTACCTCACCTTAACTGCAGATATCGACACTCTGAGGAGCGATGAACCCCTTCACTATTGGGTGTGCAGGCTTGACCTGTGGCCTGAGCTATCCCAATTTGTAATAGAACTTCTGGCCTGCCCCGCTTCAAGTGTCCTGTCAGAAAGGACCTTCAGTGCAGCTGGAGGTATTGTCACTGAGAAGAGAAGTCGCCTAGGTCAAAAAAGTCTAGATTACCTCACCTTTATTAAGATGAATGAGGGATGGATCCCGACAGGACTGACAGTGGGCGATACATCCGACTAAAAAAGGCCTGATGAGATGAGCTGCCTTGGGCTAAAAATGGTCCACACGCTGCTGTATTTTAGCTCTGAATGCCGGTTGACTTGCGTGACTCATCCGCCACCAACTAGGGTTCTAGCCGCAATGTTTTAGGGCAGTGCTCCCCAACCTTTTTATCGCCGCGGACCGGTAAACGTTTGATCCACATACCGGTCCGCGGCCCGGGGGTTGGGGAACATTGTTTTAGGGCACTTTCTGCCTGGGAAACAAACATCAATTCTTCTGGCCGCTGCTACAGCAGCAGCTTCAACAATACCTAATTTTTCAGGCATGAGGCCCTGGGGAGTCAGCACAGCTAAACGTACAAGGGCACATGTATGAGTGTGGGGACGGTGCTAGTGATTGGCTGTATGTGTTTAGGGGAGTGGTTATGGGTTTGTAGTGGGGCAGGGATCATCTTACCTCAGTGCCTTTTGGGATTCTGGCCAGCAAACAACTTCCCTGCCTCTGCGCTCCTGTTTGTCCTGGGCCTGGTGACTTTCCTGCTTGAGGGATGGATATTGAAGGCATCCTGTCTGCCCTCAGAGCTGCAGCTGCCCTGGATGGTGGTAGGCACTTGAGGGAGAAATATGCTCACCTCCAACCTGTGGCCGCCGGTGTGGGTTCACCCCCCCGCGGTCAGGCCTCTCCAGGGGCCTCCCACGCGGCTACAGCCCCTGTAGGCCGCAGGAGCACAGGCCGGCGCTCCTGCCCGCCTGCTCGTCTGAGCCCTGATCCCTCACCTCGGGCCCGGTATAGGAGCCGGAGCCCAGGCCCGAGGCACCACCAGGCCCGCGTGGCAGCTCAATCTGCCACGTGGCCTGCATCTACTGCCGCCCCCGCGCACCCCCAGCCGTGGACAGCGGGCCAGGGGTGCCAGAAGACCTGCTCTGCATCCTGGGGGGTCTGGGAGGCCTTCCCAGCCCCCACGTGGTCGGCGCACCGGCGGATCCAGAGCCGGGCCAGGGGTGGTGAGTGGGCCCCTCAGGGTCACGCGGGGCATGGCTGTGCTGCTGCTGGGGGGGTGGAGGGGGTCTGTGGGCTCCTCTGGGGATGAGGGTCGGCCGGGGGGGGTCCTCCTCTCCTCCCCCGGGTTCTGTCGGCAGTTCACCCCTCCCTCCTCCCCCCTGTGATTCCATCCCTTTGCTCTCCCTCTGCTTGCCTCCTCCTCCCCTGTTCCTGCTGTGCTGGGCCCCCTTCCACTCTCTGCTCTCCCTCCTGGCTCTCTCTCTGTCTCCCTTCCTCCTCCCCCCCTCCCTCCTATCCCTCCTGTCTCTATTTCTGGTCCCTATGTCCCCCCTGCACCCCCTGGGTACTCACCTCGGCTGCCCTCCACTGCGGGGTGTGAGCTTACCTCCTCTCCGCTGCTCTTCTCACAGGATCTGGCTGCTGTGGCTGCAGTTCCTGGGACCGGCCAGCAGATGGCGCCTGGTGCTGCTGCAAGGCTGAGCAGTGCTGAAAATGAAGTTAACTCTCTGCTGCCTGGATCATCTTCCTTTCCTTTGCCGCGGGAGGTTCCTCGGGCATCGGCTGGTGAGTTTACTAATTTTTCTTCTTCTCAATATGGGGGTTCCTCACTGGGGGGGTTTCTGGCAGGGCTTCGGGGTTTTCTTGATCACTGGGAGCAGGGTGCGCAAGCAGGTAGGGTCCCCCTATTAGATGGTCAGCTTCGGTCAGTGTGGTCCTCAGCGCTGCAGCCACAGGGGGTTCTAGCGGTTCCTGGGGTCACAGGGTCCCCCTCTTCCGGGTTGGTTGGCCAAACTGGCACCCCTGCTATGGCATCGGGTGCCTCGGCACCGGCGGTGGCTGGGAGGTCCCTGGCATCGGGTGACCCCGCGGGTGTTGCGTACGTTGCGCGTGGGTCCACCTATATGTGTTGGTCAGGGCCCTTGGGTGTGCACTTGAAACAAGAGGTTCGGGACAAAATTTGGAGGGGTGAATTTGTTGAGATTTTCTCCCTCCTTCCTATGGAGGAGGCTCCTCCTTTACTGGAGAATGACGGGAAAGACTCCGACAAAGACAGGGAGAAGTACCGGTACTGGAAGATTCCTAAGACTTTCGGGAATTGGATTCGCGCATTTGCGATCCTGGCCAGTGTGATTGGGGAAAGGGCTCCGCAGAAGTGCTCCGCATTGTTCTGCTACCAGGATACCATTTGGAACGCTTGTCGTACCTAAGGTGGTCTGGGGTGGTGGAAATATGACGAGCAATTCCGTCAACGGTTAGCGATGCGCCCCTCCATTTCATGGGACCAGATGGACATTGGCCTCTGGCTCTCCATTATGACCCGCCCAGCCCCCCAGCAGGGTGGGTTCTCGTCTTTTCTCGGGGGGGGGGCGGTGGGGGCGGGTCCTCCTCCTCATCGGCCGCGCATCAGAGGCCAGGCTGTTGTTGGAAATTCAATGCCAGTCACTTCAAATGGGGGACATCTTGCCGATTCAAGCATGAATGTTCCACCTGTGGGGGAACACATCCCATCTCCCGCTGCTTCAAGCGGGGCAAAGTGGGTGAGAAAGGGGATTTGGGGTCAAAGGGCGACGACGCCGGTGGTCATAAGCGCGATGCGCCCTTGGTTCGCCAGTTATAGGAATCGTCGGGCTGCCGACATCCTACTGGATGGGTTTGAGCATGGGTTTTGGATTCCGTTCACTTGTCGTCCCCCTTCCCCTCTGGTACGGAACCTTCGGTCGGTCCGGGAATTCCCATGGGTGGTTCGGGAAAAACTGAATAAGGAGGTGTCATTGGGTCGGATGGCGGGTCCCTTTAGGGACCCCATGCTCCAGGAATTGCGGGTCGCCCCCCTGGGTATGGTGTCCAAAAAGGAGCAAGGGAAATACCATCTGATTCACCATTTATCGTACCCGAGGGGGGGTTGGGTGAATGATGACATCTCTTCGGAACTCTGCCGAGTGTCTTATGCGTCCTTTGACGGGGCGGTCGCCATGGTCAGGGCCGCGGGCCCTGGGGCCTTGTTGGCCAAGGCTGATGTGGAATCGGCCTTCCGTCTGCTGCCTGTGCACCCCAAATGTCACCATCTTCTGGGCTGTGTTTTTTAAGACCGGTATTACGTGGATATGTGTCTCCCTATGGGTTGTTCTTTATCCTGCTTTTACTTTGAATGCTTCAGTACATTCTTGGACTGGGTGGTGAGGTAGGAGGCTGGGATAGACTCCTTGCTACACTACCTCGATGATTTCCTTTGTGTGGGTCCCGCCAATTCGCCAGCCTGTGCAATGCTGCTGCGGGTTCTGAGCGAGGTGTTCCATCGGTTTGGGGTCCCATTGGCTCACGACAAGACGGTGGGCCCAGTCACTTGTCTCAGTTTTCTGGGCATTGAGATTGACTCTCTGGCGGAGGAATGCCGCTTACCTTTGGATAAGATTCAAGGCTTGCGGAGCGAGGTGGCCTTGGCCATGGGGCGGCGCAAGATTCAGCTGCGCTGCCTGCAGTCGCTCCTGGGGAAGCTGAATTTTGCCTGTCGGATCTTGCCCATGGGGCGGGTCTTTAACCGGCGTCTGGCTGCGGTGACGGCCGGGGTCTCCGGGCCTCGCCATTTCATTCGGCTTACACGGCCGCTGCGGGACGATTTGGCGGTTTGGGACTCCTTCTTGGCTACATACAATGGCCGGTCCTACTGGCAAAAGCCGGAGGTTTCTAATGCCGACCTCCACCTATTTACAGATGCGGCTGGCTCGGTGGGATTTGGGGCCATTCTGGGCTCTAGTTGGTGTGCGGCCGTGTGGCCGGACAGTTGGCATGTCTCTGGGCTCACGAAAAATCTGGCCTTTCTGGAGCTTTTCCCCATTTTGGTGGCAGTGGAGGTCTGGGGGTCACGTTTGCAGGATCAAAGGGTAGTGTTTCATTGTGACAACTTGGGGGTTGTTCAGGCCATTAATCGGCTGACAGCCTCCTCCCCTCCGGTGGTTCACTTGCTTAGGCGGTTGGTTCTCCGATGTTTGTGTCTCAATGTGTATTGTAGGGCAGAGCATATACCGGGAGTTCACAATGTGATGGCGGATGCTCTCTCTCGTTCACAGTGGTCGGAGTTTCGGGCTGTCGCCCCGCAGGCCGAACCGGTGGGAACGCCTTGCCCGGCGGACATCTGGTCGCTTGGTCAGGCAGTGTGATGGAATGGGTTTGTGGATCGGTTTCCAAGGCTACCTGGATTCGGTACAGTAAGGTGTGGGGTGAATGGGAGCAATGGGAGTTGGATTTGGGTGGTTTTTGTTCCCCGACCGAGCGTCTCGGGGGGCTACTGCAGCTCTTGGAACGCTGGGAATCTGAGGGTAAGTCTCCCTCTGCAATCTCCGCGCGTTTCTCCGGTCTTAGCTTTCTATTTAAGCTGCGCGGGTGGGAAGATTCGACTAAAGCATTTGTTTGTGGGTCAGGCACTTAAGGGACTGCGACGCCGAGCTGTGTCGGTTGACGCACGGAGACCGGTTTCTGCGGTGCTTTTGTCACAACTCTGTGGGGTGCTCCCGCAGATCTGTTACTCGGTGTTTGAGGCACGGCTGTTTAAGTTGGCTTATTCGCTGGCATTTTTTGGGGCCATGCGTATTGGGGAACTGGTGAGCCCTAGTAAGCGCAGCTGCGGGGGGGTGTTGTTTGCCGACGTTCAGTGCGAGCCGGGGCTGATTTCATTTCTGATACGACGGTAAAAATGGATGTCCTTGGAAGGGGTAAATGGGTGCAGTTGGGTGCTGTCCCTGGTTCAGATATTTGCCCAGTTTCTTCCTTTCGGGAATTCTGCGAGCTGCGCCCTGTTTCTTCAGGCCCCCTTTTGGTTCATGAGGATGGGAGTTTTCTGTCCCATTTTCAATTTATTTGAGTTTTTCATTCTGGATTGGAGGTATTGGGGGTTGACAGTAAGGAGTTTGGGGGGCACTCATTTAGGATTGGCGCTGCCACTGAAGCTTCTAGGCTGGGAATGTCGGCGCAAGCGGTTCAGAGGATTGGGAGGTGGGCATCTGGGCGTTTTGTCTCATATGTTCGTCCTTCCCGCCTGCTAAATTTATGTTTTCTCCTTAGTTGGGAGTCCCCCCAGGGTCTGGGTGATCGGACACTCGTTTGTCTTCTGGGCCAGACGGCGGGCGGCTGTCCGTCCGGGAGGTGAGCTGCTTGGTTTCACGCCTTCTGAAGCGGAGGTTCGCTGGTTTGGGAATAGAGGTATGAAGTGGGTCCGGCTCCTCCCTGAGCTAGTTCAGCTTGCCCGGCTTTTGGGTCCACCTAGTGTCCTTGTAATTCACCTGGGGGGTAATGATCTCGGGACTATGCCTATTTGGGGGTTGGGGAATGCAATTAAGAGGGATTTAGCGCGGGTATTGTTTCTGTTCCCGGACGTTCGACTGGTCTGGTCTGAGGTAATTTCACGAAATTACTGGCAGCGGGCCCATAATCAACGGGCGATGGACCGTTGTCGGGTTAAATTGAACCGGAGGGTCTCCAAGTTCGTGTTGGGGGTAAACCCTGCCACTTGAACTAACTATTCTGTGCGAATGGGTGCTAAAACAAGTGAATAAATGCACAAACAGACTTTAATGCTATTTTGCTGTCTTTTATGCGAATGCCCCAAAACTACCGAACGGGAGACCACCCCGGGGTGGTCGTGTGTTTCCAATTACCTGAAAGATACAATGTTGCGAAGGGAATTAAGTACCAGTATGTGTGGCCGCCATTTCGCCTACCGAACATGTGGCGGCGGCCATCTTAAGCACGAACAGCGGTACTTGGTCATCGAACGCCTGGAACTCAAACCGGGCATTCAACTAACCAAGTACCGCTAAGACTTCCAGCATGCTCCGACAGCACGAACTAAACACATGAACGCCCCGGCGTTCAGTAGATAGAATCCCCTAAACGAGGGGATTCATACAAATGTTATCAGTCGCCTGGATGGCTGAGCTGTTCGGGATTTTGCATTCACTAAAAAAGACCGACCGCAGGGCCAGAATTTATGGAACTGTTTTCGGCTACTGAGCCCCTGCGGTCGGTCAAATCTTTAAATGCCTGTAACTCCCGAACCCCTGGGTGAATTTTGAGTATGTTGCTCACCCAGATCAGACCTACCAGGTGTATTTAGGGGACATCCAGAAAGTGGGGAAAACTCTGTCCCCATTAATCTGTGTAAGTGCTAATCTAAGGGGAGGAAAGGGATGGGAGGTGACCGTATTATGATTGGCTACTGTACTAATTATGAAAGTTACCTCCCTTGCATGGGAGAAATGCATAAAAGCAGACATGTGAATAAAGCTGACAGTTGACTCCCAGACTATGTGTCATCTAGTCCTTGGGGAGGTGGATTATTCTGTGTTCCTGTGATTTTGTATGCTGAATCTTTGTTCCCAGCGGAGAGCTATTGGATTAACCCCTGCTCCTCCGCTACATACATAGTTTATACTAAGTGACCCATAGGTTGAGGCAGCAATGACTGTGGCAGTGTAGGTGGAAGCGGCGGTGGAGGAGGTAGCCAACACTATTTTTTTTTATTGGGACATATAAAAAAGAAACATTTGTGGCCTGTGGTGCATTTCTTGCCATCAGGTTTTTAAAATTGTCCGTCTCCACCAGACGGCCAGGAATTTTGAAATGCTGGCATTCAGGGCCAGGGATCGCGGGTGGGTAGGGGGGTACTTCCTCTTTCTCTCCAGTGTTTGGGAGATGGGACAGTGTGCAGATGCTGGACAATTGTGTACCTGACCTATGCTGGCCCTCCGAGCCACTTGTGAATGAATGGCCTGATAACCGTGGAAATGACCCCTCTTCCACCTCCTCTTCCTCCTGTGTCACTTCCTCTTTCACCATTGCCCAAAGCATTTTTTCAAGGAGACATAGAAGCGGGATAGTAAGGCTAAGAACAGCGTCATCGGCACTTGCCATGTTGGTGGAGTACTAGAAACAGCGCAACATGACACACAGGTCTCGCATGGAGGCCCACTCATTGGTGGTGAAGTGAAACTCCACTATCACCTGCTGCTGCTCTCACAGTTTCTCCAGCATGTGCAAGGTGGAGTTCCACCTTGTGGGCACATTGCAAATGCGGCGGTGAGCGGGAAGGCCGAAGTTACACTGCAGCGCGGACAGGCGAGCAGCAGTAGGGTGAGAATGCCGAAAGTGCGCACAGACGGCGCGCACTTTCTGCAGCAGCTCTGATATATCTGGGTAGTTTTTTGGGAATTTCTGCACCACCAAATTCAGCACATGCACCAGGCAAGGGATGTGCATAAAATCAGCTAGGCCCAGAGCTGCTACGAGATTTCGCCCATTATCGCACACTACCAGGCCGGGCTTGAGGCTCAGGGGCAACAACCACTCATCAGTTTGTTGTTCCATGCCTGTCTACAGCTCCCGCATGATGTGGGGTTGCACAGGTAGATTGTCTGGCACTGTAGCGGAGAGGCAGTATAATCCACAATATCTCCGCTGGGTAACAGGAGCAACATAACATAATCCAGGGGAATCAGTACAGCATGCAATAATCCAGGTAGCGTTGTAGTAATCTTTCCTTCCCAAGAACTAGACGACAGATAGGCTGGGAGTCAACTGAGGTCTTTATTCACATCTCCACAATTTATACAATTCCCCATTCAAGGGGTTTCCTGAGTCCTATTCCAGGGGCATTACAGGATTGGACTAAATGGGAAACTTAATGTACAGAGCGGGATCCTCCCACTGGAATGTACCGTTAAGTTGATTATCCCTCCGTGCAGCAGAACCGAAAATTCACGTTAAAATACATAACTTTTCACATACTTGACAGATTTAAACGAATTGACGTTCGGTAGATAGCTGGGGTCTGAGCACACCGTTCGTGTGAATACCGCTCAGATCCCAGCTAAATCAACCGAACGCCATACGAAAAACACATTATTCATAACACAAGTTAAAAATACCGATTGACCAAGATGAACAAAACTACCGAACGCTCTGGAAACCCAGCGGTGTTCACGCCGTCGAGTAGCCGTTTTCAGTTCCATGCGCTCGATGACCAAACACCGCTGGGGAACAAAGGATCCAAGATGGCCGACCACCGCATGGTCAGTAGTCGAATGGCGGCCACCTAGGAGAGCCTCTAATTACCGATTGCAACACTATTGCAATCGGTTAACAAGCGCCACACGTCTCTTAGTGTGTGGGCTATTGAAAGATGGTTCATTCGGTTCACGAACGGCTTGCAAAGGTGCTGTTCGTGAAACGAAATAGAAAATGACTATCTGCTTTCGGCAGATAGCCAATACAAGTAATACAGCAGGCAGGATACAGCAGACACCAACAGTCACATACACAAAATATACCGGCAACCCTTAAAGACATATTGTCCCTGCGATGAGACCAATCTCGCCACATTGCATTGGAGAAGCCTGGTTGCTCGCCTATTGCCTTGGGATTATGGCCCCATAAAAGGCTTGATTTTCCCCTGCAAAGACAAGAAAGCCGGGTCGTTTGGTGCTTGCCCTGTTTGAGCAGTGATACCCCAGATAGCTATGCCATGGAGCCCATTCGTATAATGAAAGACTATGGGAAAGACTTTGGCTCCATGGCAATTGAACTGTATGTGTGTGCTCTGAGTGCCATTCAGTAATAATGTGTGTTTAGACCTAAGCTATCTGGGCATATGTTGCATGTCTGTATTTTATGTCATAAATGTAACATTGTGTATTTTATTGTATTTTACTGTCTTTTTGCTGCCATGTGTTCAATGGAGTTTTGCCTCTGTCTTTGGAGATAATTGGATTACTTCTAATTATCTCCAGGATAGAAGACTCTGTGGAACTGGTTTTGGGCAGAAAAGCCATGCTTCCTGTGGTCACAAAGGACTACGATCTATCTTTTGAACCATTGGACCAATTTGTATGATTTTGACGTATGTTTGTATTTGGAGTATGCTGATTCTGAAAATGTGAATGTGAATGTGATGCATACTTTTCAAGTTATGAATAATGTGGAAAAATTGTATTTCTCTGCTTGTACTAAATTACATTATCCATTGTGTAAGGTAATTGAATCACATGCA